AAGTACATTCTTGCAGCGCTGCTGCTTCTTTCAGAAGAGATTGACGTCCAAATAGGCGTGGACCACTCAGGGGAGAAAAAGAGACTTGTCATAAAGAGCAAGACATGCAAGGGAAAAAAGTTTGCAGATGTAGAGCTGTACACTGCAGGCATTGACCCTGCTACAAATCTGCGCATCGACAGCATTTACCAAAGTGAAGTGGAAGAGATTGTCAACTTCTGTGTACGGTGCAAAGACAGAATAGTAATTAGAAAAGCACCCGCATTTGTAATGCCGTCCAGCCAGGAGGCATTTGACACGGGAGACTTTTTGAACAGCTTAGAGTTCCTCATGCAGACGTACATATATCACTTCATTGACAGCTTTGCGGAGTATGCAAGTTTTGTGGAGGCAGTGCATGAGCTGCTTCTTGACCAAATGACAGAAGAGGAGAAGAGCGAGCTTCTCATTGGCCAGAGCGGTGCTAAGGAAGAGCAGCAGGCTGCCATAGACCAATATAACACAGGAAATGCAAGTAGCAATAAGAAGAGTCAAATATTCCATAAACTGTTCCTCCGCGAAGAGTCTGCCAGTGCAAGCATGAAATATATTACGTCTTTCTGTGATCTGGTAAAGAACAAAACTGAAGAAGCAGCCTTTTCCTTCTGGAAGGAAAGCACGCTTCCAATAGCTGTCAAAGTACCGCAGTACAAGCAGGATCTATCTGGCTTTGAGGAGGACCGCACTTTAGACTACATAAACCACACAGAAACAGCTCTTCTTGGGCTGTTCTGCTGCTTGGCATACAACCCAGAGAAAAAAGAGTACGAAACCAGCCACATGGGAGAAGAAGTAAGCCCAGCAGTAACTGCCTTCTTTAAAAAGTATCCTAAGCCAACTGACACTATTACCTTAGAAATGCACATGGAGTGGAGTAAGGTCGTTTCTTGCCTGGACAACAAGAAAATCCAGTACAGACACAACAGAAACCAGCTTGAGTCTGGTCTTGCAAATATTTTGCTTGTCATAGCAGAAATAACCGGGCAGAAGACTGGCACAGACATAGTGGATCTAGTTGAGTATATAGAAGAAAGATGTAGAGAAAACAATCTAGACATCAGCAAAATACATGATATTGCATCTAAGATGCAGGAAGTTTTTAGGTCTTTAGCATCTCCTAAATTAGGCATATTAGTAATGGATTGGGGCATGAAACTGGGCCACAGACCAGATGAAAGCGCCGATATTCTTGGTGGAATTCATATTGTTTCTACGCATAACTATAAAAATAGCACTTTTATATTACAACTAAAAAGAGACTATGCTACTTTTAATTTTATTGAGGGTTCAGGCATAGACTCTAGCAATACAAACCAGTATGAAGAAGTAAGAAGGATGTATACAGACACATGCAGCTACATTATGTATACTGTTAATCGGTACATTGACTTGGAAATAGAAGATACATCTTTTATGGCGCAGCGGTATAGCTGGCGTTATCCTATAGAGAGAACAGACGCTATTTTAAGTACTGGATACGAAAATGTATCTAAATTATTCTTAATAGGAAAGATTGCTAACAAAGAGTGTAAGATCCATATTATAGAACAATTTATACTCCACTTGATAGAAAACGAATTGAGCCCAACCAATCCTGCAACACGCTTTGTTGCAAACGTTCTGGGAAGTGCTCCACTTGATAAAGAGTATATACGGGGCCGTATGCTGTCCCCTCTTCTCTTCCTTTCAAGTTGCCAGACACATTATCCACAGCTTAGCTATTTATTATTCAACAATATATTAGTGCAAAATTCTTATAGGCCTAATATAGATTCTATGTATGGATGTATACTAAAAAAGAAATCAATAGGATTTGCAGTAAAATGTATAGAAAACTATCTCAATCAGCCCATACGTAGAAATGCTATGTATTCTTTACTGGGAAGCAAACAGCAGAACAGAAGCATATTTAATGTTATAGTGGCACAAGGGAAAATAGCTCAATTTGCAAAGCTTCGATCTATACTTGAGAAAACCAAGGCGCCAGAAGAAAGCCTCAACTATATCTACGTGGGCTGGCTTATTAATGCATGTATGGGGCCAAACCCTAGCCTAAATGCCATTGTTCTTATTTACAACCTTATAAAAACAGAAGAATTGACTACCCCACATGATCCTAATCTATCAGACCATATCCCATACTTCATAAATACTATTCTAGTTTTAGAGAGAAATAAGACTATGCTGTGCTCAGAAGGCAGTGAACAGAGTGTAGAAAAATACAACAAAGTATTAGAACAACTTGGAAGACGGTGCCCAGGAACAATTGTTATAAAAAAGAGTTTATACCAATGGGTAAGAGGAATTGTGAGATCTTGTATTGCATGGATTAAGTCTTTTTTTTAGAATAGATTAGACAGCGGTTTACATCCACTTCTTTGTTTACAGCGATTGAGTGACTATTTTAGTAGCAATACTACTTTGTATCTTTCTTTCTGCTGTACAGAGTTTCAAATAAAATTATTTTAATAGAATTGACTAAGCACATGACTCCAGGTTGGATATAGAGCTAGACATTATTCCTTAAGAAAGCTCATTTAGACAAGATTGCAATATGCATAACCAAACACAAGAGCATAACAAGACACACCACATGTCAACATTGCATGCATCGTATGTTCTCTTTATACATCAAATCTCTTGTTTGTACTGTATGCTAAACCACTTTGGATAGCGACGGTGCATGGATGGGTCTTTAAAATATGTCATTTTTTGGATTTTCCTGTGCTTTCCTCTTTTTTTTGAGAAAAACCCCTTCTACTTATATATTTGTATATGAAGTGTGGAAGAGATATTTTTTACAGGTATATAAAAAGTAAGAGAAAATGAGTTAGGCAGAGGCAAGCAACCATAGAAAACATATGTAATAGATAAGCATAAAACTCAAGCAAATTTGTTTTTAAAACAACAAATATATGCATACTGCGACTTAAAAACTCTTAAGCAATATAGCCAGAGTAGTAAAGTACACAGTTGACAAGTTACAGACTAATAAAAAATACCTGGGATCTAACTTACAAAGCCAAACTGTGAAAATAGGAAGAATCATTTGGTGCACTGTTCATAACTAAGAACCAAAGATGGCCACTGCAACTATCAGTGTGTCTGGCATAAGAGTAGGAGTTTACGCTCTTACAGCAGAATAAAATAATAATATTTGCCTATTAAAATAATTATATACAGTAAAATCATAACTGCTGTTTTAAATGATTTATTAATAGTATTTTTGCAAAGTTTTAAATGGACGAGCAGGGTATACCATTTTCAGTACAAGGAACCAACTGTGAGCCACATGAAATATGGTGTGAAGAAGACAACCGCCCAATTGTAGAAATGGACAGCCATGAATTAATTTTATTTAGTAGTTTGCTAATACTCTTAATTGGGGTTGCGTTTGCAATTTTACTAGTAAAGCGTTTGTACAGAAGAGTAACTGCAGAAACACATCGCATAATATATAGACCTAGAGGCACAAATAGATATAGACCAGGATTATCAACAATTCAAGAAGAATCATTGCCAGATTCAGATATACAAAGTGCGCGCTCTCAGGCAAGGGGAAATGACAGTATAATTGTTCAAACATTGTACAGTGCAAGAGCCCGATTGAATAACCCAGCGTATACAAACAGACAAGAACTTTCTCCTTTAATAAGCTCAAGCAGGCCAGAGCACTTTCCCCCAACATATGATGAAGCCATGAGAAGCACAGCATCTTCTGTAGGTAGCAATACCGCAGAGCAATCAGAACTTCCTACATATATAGAAGCAGTCACTAGAAGCACATAACCAAGTAGACATATTCTTTTTGAGCCAACTAGAAGAGACTATTATTTATGCCTAACATAGTATAAACAGCATGTTTATCACATAGTAATAAATGCAATAGATAATATTCTTAAAATAGCCCAGTGTAGCCTGTTTTCTATGTGCTTGCCTCTAACCCGAACAATATACAGACAAGTTTTTGAAGGATTTATTTATAAAGCTAGAAGTTGTAAAATGACATGTTCCTGTGGCATAACTATAACCCGAAATAGCGCAAAGACACTGACATGCCTAAGAGAAGATGGCATCCCGGCAGGGAGATAGTATTATATAGCCCGATAGAGCTGTTGTCAAGGAGGTTTGTATTATACTAGCAGTCGAATACACAGAAGTATTATGGCCTCCGTAAGGAATAGTATGAGTTTTGTTTTGTTCTCTGTGGCCAGTAGAGTTTTATAGGCATCCTCTCTGACAGGATCTTAGTCAATAAATATACCTTTCATTAAAAGAGTTGTAGTATTATGATTCCTATCTTTACAGATATACAAATATTCTGTAGCTGCTTGCCATTGTACTTGAGTTATTCTTGGCAAATACCCCTATCTACTATCTATCTTAAACTACTATCACCTGGCGGGAATACCCCTCCCTTTAGGCATGTCACTAGCAAACACCTTAAAAGACAGTCATTCCACAAGAAAGTAAGCAATATTATAAGCATAGATGGATAAAAGCATTTCTTTATTATTTTTATCGTACTATGGTACAGGGAAAGTATGCACCCAGTACTATTCACTTTGTTCATTTATAATGTGCAGTATTTCTGCATATTTATTTGTAAAATTATACAGCAGTATTCTATTCTATAGTTCTATTATACCCTCAGAACCGTGCACTCAAAATATGTATATGCCTCTTCAATAAAGAAGTAGACACATTGCCACATAAAACAGGCAATAAGGCCCCTTCAATTTAAAGATACTATTCTTACAGGCTGTGTCTACATTATTATACACTCTCATGTAGCACTTAAGAATCCTATAGGTCAGTCTCTTCCGTTGGGACAAGATTATCTATATCTGTAACATCAGTTGGATCGTGTGAGTAATGGAATAGTTTGCACAGATCGACCTTATCAAAGACTTTCTTCGAGCTGATCCCGTCCAGAACCCCCTTTGAAATAGTTCTTTTCACATCTTGTATCATCTGTATGGTCTCTTCAATTGTGCCTTTGCACAGTAATCTGTACACTTCCACTTCTTTCTCCTGTCCTATTCTGTGTGCCCTTCCTTTAGCTTGCTCCTCATTAAATGGGTTCCAGTCAATGTCAAATAGAATCACAGTATCACTCTTCTGCAAATTCACTCCAACGCCCCCCACCTTCATGCTCATTAAAAGCACCTCCATCCCGTCTTTACTTCCAAATATTTTAAATATTTCTTCTCTCTTGCCTATTGGACTGTCCCCGTCAATCCTATATACATGCGTGTCTATGAATCTTTCAAGAATCTTAAGCGTGTTCTTGTACTGACTAAACAGAATGATCTTTCTATTTGAAGACCTCCACATAAACAGCAATCTATGGACCACTTTCATCTTTCCACTTGCATGCCAGCTGGTTACTCTTTTATCCACAAGCGATGGATGGCTGCATACGCTCTTCAGGTGTGATATGCTCTTCAAAGGAGATTTCCTGCCAAGAACAGTGCTCTTAACTAGGTCCATATTCAGCACGTCATTATATACAGCCTCCTGCTCCTCTGTGAATCCGCAGTATATCACATACTCCTTTCTCTTTGGGACAAATAGTCCTTCCCTTTTCTTAAACTCCTCATTGAATATTTCCTTCTTCGTTCTTCTTATTACTACATCCGCAATAAGCTCATTAATGTGCTTCTTAATTGAAGCCCCTTTCCTTTTCTCCAATTCAGTCGCGTGCTTCAGTGTGCTCTTCTTCAAGGGGTCTTCTATTTCAGCCTTGAACGTGGTATAGTCCCCAAAGTACCCAGGTCTCACAGTCTCTGCTATGCTCCATAGTTCTGACAGACTATTCTGTATAGGCGTACCTGTGACGCATATCTTGCACATTGCATCAATAGTTCTGGATATCCTGGAGACCCATGTCGTATGGTTCTTTATCCTTTGTGCTTCATCAAATACAACCAAATCAAAGAATGTCTGCAGGAATACACTCTTCTTCTGAAGCAGCTCATAATTCACTATTAGAATATATTCTCCGTCTGCTGCATTGACTAATTGCACCACATTCGTGTCACTAGATCTAACAATTCGGGCAGGAATTGGAAACTGAAACTTCTCCATTTCCTTCTCCCAGTTGTGCAGGAGGGTGCACGGTGCGACAATAAGAACTGACTTTCCAATGGAGTTCCAGACTCTCTGAATTATCTCCAAAGACTGAAGGGTCTTCCCTGTCCCCATTTCATCACTCAATACAACGCCCTTCCGATTCCTAACTCTCTCCCACATCCACTCTACCCCTTCAATCTGATGGTCTTTAAATTTTTTCATCTTCCACACAGTAGGAAACGCATATATATATTTGGGTGTTTTGTGGTGTGAAGGGGTGCTATGTGTTTATTATCTGTTTCTTGTGTGTACTTATTGTGTGCACTTTGGGATAGATTGAATATATTAGTTTGTGGATTAAGTTTTGTCAGTTTTAGTGAGGGATGGATTAAGTTTTGCAAGAGTGGATTAAGTCTTGCAAGAGTGGATTAAGTTCTGACAAAGTGGATTAAGTCTTGCAAGAGTGGATTAAGTCCTGTCAGTTTTAGCGAGGGATGGATTAAGTTTTGTCATATTTATAAAAAGTGGATTAAGTTTTGTAAGAGTGGAAAAAGTTCTGATATTTTATATTTAAAAATAATATGTCTTGTCACTTTTCATTACTTTTTACACTGTGTGTAATAAATAATGCAAATAAAATATTTTTATGAAGCAAGATAAGAGAGTAGGAACAGAACTTAGTACACATACTGTAAAAAGTAGTGACAAAAGGACAGAACTTAATCCACATGCGCCATATATTCTGGATAACCATACTAATTCCAACGGGGTAACAGAACTTATTATGCAGGAGGAAAAAGTAGTGGATAATAATACAGAACTTAGTACACATGGTGTAAAAAGTAATGACAAAATAACAAAAAGAATCTTTCTCTTTTTATTGCTGGTTGGGGGCCTCAACCTTCTTGTCTCTGCACCCCTTCATGTAACTGAGATATTTAATGACAGAATGCAAGTGGGAAAGTATATTTTAAAAAATTTCCAAGGCTGCAGTGAATTATCCCTAAAAGAAAGAATAGACTGCATAAACAACCAAAAAACAACGGTCTTTCCTAATAGGGTAATACAAAAGTTTCTATCAAGCAATTTCATTAATGAGCCAACAAATTCAACTGTTTTCCAAGATTTATTGAGAAATATTAATTTTGGCGGTTTTGTGTGCTTCCTAATTGGGAAATTAGTAGGTTATATAATGTTTTTATTTTATGACAAATATTTGCCCAATAAGGAAAAACAACAGTCAAAATTCATCACCTTATTTTTCATTATCTTCACAATTCCAGGCCTAATTCTTCACAGTATAATAATTAACGGAATTTTCCCAGAACTTTTCACAAAAAATGTCATAAGTCTTGGGATTTTCACGCAAAGGTTTTTTTTGGGCATAAATAATTCGTTAATCTTAACGTACATAGATTTAAAGGGAAGAACCCTTTCTACCCAAAAGAACCTGTTCTCTTCAGTAAAGATACTCACAGGATCTCTTAGTTTCGTATTTCCTGCAATTTTCAGTGAAATTTATTACCAAATTCAGCCAGACCTGGCAATGGTTATAATTAGTCTAATAATACTACTGCCCTGCGTACTAATACCAGCACTAGAGCATATGACTAATTACAACAAGAATAGTGAGTGTGTGACTAATTACAGCGGGGAGGAAGAAGTAATGATAGAAATGACAGAACTTAATACACACGTGCCATATAACCCGGATAATACGACTAATTCTAACACAAATACAAGACTTAGTACACATATTGTAAAAAGTAATGACACTATCTCACAAAAAAACACAAATAACAGTACTTTAACGGAATTCCTTCAAAAAATACGCCATTCACTTGAATGGTTTGGTGTTTTGCCACTCTTATACCCTCTCGCATTCTATATGACGGGTGTAAATGCCTTTTTGTATTATAAAGAGATATCAATTCTCTCATCCTCTAGTTCTCTCTCGTTGATTTTATTGCTTAGCCCGTTGCTTGGGGGAATTTTAGGATTATTTTTCACAAAAAGCGCCATAAGCCCTGTCAGAGTTTCTTTTGGGTTTTTGGCAGTTGGGATTCTTCAGATTATTTTTTATTTTTTAAAATTTTTCGAGTTTAACCAGATAATAATTGTTGTCTTGGTTGGTTTTATGATAGTCAATTTAACGGTTTGTTTAAATCCGTTACTTTCTGTTATACCGGTTTTATATGAAAAATCTGTCAGATTTGTTGTTATTTTTGGTTTTTATCAGCAAATTATTGATATTTTTAGTTTCTCACTTGTGTCATTACTTTTTACGCAAAGTGGCATAAGCTTTGTCTGGGTGACTGGGATATTTTCAATTGTTTCTGGGACTCTTATACATTATGTCCTTTGAAGAGTGCGGACCCCAGGAAATGGTTTAAAATGCATAAAGATCCTTGTAGATTTAAGGAAATCCTATGGGATATGGGAAATAAATTAGAACAGAATTTATTACATATGGTGTAAAAATTAATGAATAATTTGACAAGACTTAATATATATGGTGTACAAAGTAATGGTTATTGTGTTGTAATTAATGGGAATATGCAGAATATAATACACTATGTGTAAAAAGTAATGGCAGATGGACAAGACTTAATACTCAAATTTACTATTTTCCTTAGAAGATAAAAACTAAGTCTATTTTATGTGCCATATAATACTTCTTAAATACTCCTTTAAGAAAGCAAATATTCTTAAGAATTTTTTTATTACTGCCTAGTGGGCATATTTCTAACTGACTCTGATATATAACCCGATATAACCCGAATAAGAGTGGTATAGTAGGATACAGTGTTTGTTGGCACTCTCTTCCCTGTTATGGAAAACTTATATACTTTATCGTTGGATAGATTAAATATCACGCGGTGCTGGTTTGTTATATCTGTTCTCCATGAAGGATACTTCTTTATTTCTAAAGAATCCATCCGTTTTTTATAAATGTAGTCTACCTTTTTGCCTAAGTACAGCATAATTGGGCTGAGTGGCCCATCTGGATTAGCCATATATGGCACTCCTTCGACTTTGAATATTTCCTCTCCCTGTACCTCTTGCACTTCATTCTTTTTTATTGCTGCACTGGCTTGCTGCACTACCAGAAGTGCTGCCATAAAGGCCATTTTTATTACTAATCCTATAAAAGCATTTCTAGTACTTCTTATTGTATTATTTTCTTGCAATTTATTTTTCTTTACGTATAAATATTCGCGTATTTTATTTCTTGTTCTTGTGCTCATATTTTAGTGCTGTAATGTTAGAGACTTCAATCTTTAAATACTTTGACCCAAGATAAGTTTGATAAATAGTCTTTATTACATGCAATGTTGAGGGTTTTTTGATTATTTTGTCTTCTACAATAATGCTTTTGGGTGAATTGTACAAGAGTCTAATAAATGTTTAGAGTGTTTAAGCTTAAATATATATTGTTGTAGCTATAAATTTGCCAAAGTATTGTTCTCTACAGATAAGTAAGCGTGCAAGGGATTGAGCTTGTCATATATTTGAATTCTTTTGAAGTGCACAAAAGCATGATTATTTATACTCCAGTAAGCTCAATATAGCAGTATTCTCTATTATTTTTATGCCCTGCTTACACGCTTAATTTCTGTCTGTTTCTTTTAGAGTTTCTTTTCTCTACTTTTTTTAACTTCTTCTATATTTGCAAAAAATATCTCTTCTACACTGTATAAAAGAAAGAACGGGTTATTACTTGGAAAAAAATAGCAAAGCACAGGAAAATCAGAAAAGTAGCACTTTCCAGAGAACCACGCATTCACTGGTTCCATGGCGAAGGGTTTAACACATAGACTCTACAGAAGACAAGCAGTGTAAAAAGAACGAAAAAAGAGGGATACACTTATATTTGGCACAGAGCGTGCTACAGAAATATGCTTGCATTGCACTGTGTATATGCTAATATGTAACACGGAAGAGAAGTCATTATATCATCTAAATAGCAGCAGAAAGAAGATAAAATAGCTTATATAGTTTTATTAGAGTGATTTCTGGATAGTTTTCTATGCAGACATAATGTCTTCCTGTCTATTTGTAATAAATGTCAATTTCTTAGTATCAGTAAAAATTATGTCGTTCAGATATAATCGAAACAAATTGTTTAAAATATTGGGATCATAATTCATGTAAGAATTAATGTACGTCAATAATGTTTCTTTGTCTTTATCTTTTATCGGCAATTTGCTTGGCTCAATTATGATGGTTGTCTTATCTGGGCATATATTCAAGGTTATCTGACTCTCTACATTGTTATAAGAGTATTTCAGACTAAGTGTGCAAAAAAGATCGAAGTACCTATCATCTTTCATTTCCCGGGATACGTTAGATATTTTGACTTCTAATACTCTATTTTCGCAGCCTACTGACGACCAATTGAACGTGTTTTGGAGCCAGCTGCCTAAAATGTCAGTATATGTAGCAATTTCTATTTTTTCAGACTGTAAAATATCTATAAAACTGTTTAAACAAACTCTTCCATCCACACCCAGAATATTCATAAAAGCAAACCATACATCTAAAATAGTAAAGAGCCCATACTTTTTTATACTAGAAAAGCCTCCTTCTCTAATACAAGTATTATACCGCCATGCCCACCCAGATATAATTTCAGCGCTTGTTGAGCGATTGAAAACATCTTTAAGCAAATTATATCGTGAAAAGGGTGTATAACTATCGATCTCTGCATTCATATTATTCATTTCCGGGTTATATAGAAAGCACCCAAAGAGAACGAATAGAGTTTTGCTTATTTGGGTTAAGCTAGTGCTATGTCCCATATTATTAGTCAGTGCCTCAAAGTTATTGAACAAATAATTGAACCATCTTTCTTTCATGCATGAGAAGGGAATTGGCTCATTGAACGAAAACACAGTCTGAATTGCTGAGAATATATTAGGATAGCCCATGCCCACTTCAGTTGGTGAAAGCTCAATAAAGGGTGCAGAACCCGGCACCTCCTTAAAGATGTTTCTGGCTTCGCCTAAGTTTACATTACTATATAAACGCTGTATTAAAACAAATATTTTGTTTACTTCATTATAGAAGGCTGTAAGGGTAATAAGATCCTTAAAATGATCGTAAATAAACATCTGAATGAGGCACTGTGGACTAAACATATACCTCATGGCTTCTAAAGAGCTTTTGTCTAAGGAAGGGCTATTTCTCAGAACCTCATCAAAATCAAGCTGATCATATTGAGCGGCATTGTTAAAGAAGTCTATTACCTCGTAAATAAATGGAGGTGCCATGTTGTTTAAACAAAGTATCATTTTGTTTGGGCCGTAGAACTGAGCTATCTGGACATTATTGGCGTATAGAAAAGAAACATCTAGCATGTTATGCAGATGAGCTGAGCCATATTCACTATGATCTGACAGACAATCGGGGTTTCTGCTGACAATCTTTATATATGGGCCAGCACCTTCTGCTAAGCAGAAAAGAGAAGCTAAAAGGGGAAATTTAAAATCATTATAGCGAATAAAAGTACTTAGGTAGCTGCTATCTGAAGGAGTGCCGCTATAAGCATTATTAGACATGTCTGGGGAGTCACTAGCTTTCAGTAATTTGTATGGGAATAGAATATTGTATACCCTCTTGTATTTTCGAATGTACTCTCTCATAGATTCATTATTTGATGGACCGCCCCCTATTACTGGTGTGGCCGGCGCATTAATTGACACTATATCCTCAAATAATGCTAATTTTTTTTCCAGCTCAGATACTACATTTGGCTGGCTTAGTAAGAATCCTCTGATTAAGTTTAAAGGACCAGAGCAATCTATTGCTAGGCATTTCTGCGTAGGATTTGCTTCAAGCATTTTAATCTTAATATTGTGTGATGCCATTAATAGCCCAATAGGCATCTGGCAGCATATTTTCATTGTTGCCAAAACTACCAATATGCAGTTATAAATAAGAATTCGATTGTTTCTGGGTGCCCTGCTGCATCTATTATTTTTGCTTGCAGGCACATGCTTATCTATTCCATCTCTTGCTCTAGTACTCCAAATTCGATTGTATATTTCTGTTAATTTCATTTAAAGTATCTTAAGTTCCGATAAAAATAAAACCTATAGATATATATCCCGAAGTCAATGATCAAAATGATCACAACATGTTATTATTCTAATTTTACAAAATATTTGACAAAATCTTCACATATTAGGATCTTTCTGATTTATAGCTTTTTTAGCCCCTTCTAAGCACTACTCCCATAACCCAAATTTAAACTTCTGAAAATTGCACGAAATTTCTTTCCAAGAAATAAGAGAATTCGGGTTATTCGTATATAGCGAAGAAGTACTGCAAATCCTGTCTTAATATGAGGCAGTAACTAGAATATTTCTGGTATACTGGCCGTATCTGTTGTATTTTCAGGGGAAATATATCCCTTTTCATCAACCTGCACTAATATAACCCGAACCCGAATAATATCTGCATGCATGTGCGCATTTGTATAAGCATGTTAACCATGCAGTAATTGACCAAGTATTCTATATTTCAGCAAGCGCCATCATTTGTTGTTTTTATTCCAAAATAATATCTCTATGACCCAGTAGTAAATTAAGCATACAACACTATTAGTTGTAGTATTTCCACTTAGTGTGTATTTTCTGTTGAAATATGCAGTTTTTTGCAATATTTTCATAAGATTATTAGCGTGCCCAAAAGGGAGCAATATTTCAGTCAGAAGGTAGTAGTATATAACTGTGTATAACCCGATATAACCCAAATTGTCAAGTGAGGTTTATTTTTATCACATACCCGAATATCTTTGGCACCTATATCTCTTTTGTATTCTTGCCAGATATATTTCTTATTATTGACATCTGCTGCTTCTTTTAATATTTGCCCACAATTTAGTAATAGTCTTCTGGTGTACGAAGATTTTTTCAGAAAGTGGATTGACTTAAGCTTAAATAATCCAAATATCCTATTTATTATTCTTAACCATATTTACTGCTTTACTGAAGGATATTCCTTCCTTTAATGCGCATAGCATGAATATTACAAGTTTACTTTGCGTGTCAGGCATTTTATCAATTCGCCTAACCTTAAAGCGTTCATTCTCTGTTACATATTCCTGCAGTATTTCCGTACTATTCAATCTGTCTCTGTACTCATGTATGGCATCTTTTAATTCTTCAAAACTTTCTTGCTTGAATTCATGAATTTTCTTCTCTTTCAAGTACCCTTTATGTTCTACCCCATTAATATATAATATTCCTTCAATATAAGACGCACTAAGACCCTTCTCCAAGATATTGCAAGAAATGAACACCTTATTATGTATGTGCACTAATAAGTCATTCTCCTTTCTTGTAATATATTCCTTCTTCCAGAAGTATTTTATAACGGACTTTCTGGTATTTTCTGTTTCTTCCAATTCTTGCAATCTTTTACACAAAAATAACAGTCTATTAGAACTATCTTGCAAGACAGATCCCTTTATGCTGTATTCATTCGTATATGCCTTTGGTTCTATTCTCTCTTGGATAATTATGCCTTTTTCTTGCAAATCCTTTCTGGCTACCTCTAAGTGCGCCTCTGTCTGGATAATCTGCTCAGAATATGAGACTGTATTCAGGAATTGCTTTGATAAAGAGAGCCAGGCTAGTTGTGACTTACTCAGGCGAATATCATGCTCATCAGAGCCATCTGCTGAAATGCGTATAGGAAGAGCACTAAATATGTCACTCGTCCTTATATTCATAAAAAATATCCCATATTTTTAATTAAATATTACGCGCACTACTGCACGTATGACTGAATATATTGTATGTCTGTTGTAGAAGGGGTAGGTGGCAGTTATTAGTGTATATACTGTCGTATTTTGTTAAAATGGTCTAAAGTGCATTATATTCTGTTAAAATCTATTAAAATACGTTGTAATATGTTGTAATACACTAAAGTGTGTTAAAATACGTTATATCTTGTTAGAATACACTAAAATATACTATATCCTTCTACAATACAATTTAACATGCTATTAACCGAATATAACCATTCTAATACACAATAATACATGCTATAAAACAAATATACCCCATATATAACTATAAATAACACACTAAACTTCTATCTATTCCATTTTATTACACTCTATCAAGCCGTTATACCCGAATAATGCATTATATAACCAAATATTCATGGGGTCTTTAAGAATCCCGATTTTCCTGAATATTCCCAGATTGTATCTCGATTAAAAACTTGTATCTCATCAAATTTTCACAAAAAATCAAAAAGTACCTCTTTAAATTCAATTTACTCCATAAACATTTTATCGAGTCTCTCTTTTTCTTGCTGTGTTAATCCAGGGGGCTCTGCCTTTTTGATTTTCTTCACTTCTTCTGCATTCATCTCTACACAAACAACTCCTGCGCGCATGTAAATCCGTGGAATCTTCTTTTCTTCAGAAATTCTTTTACACTTCGATGCAAGAAAAAAGTGGTCTGGGTTTTTATCTAAAATTGCCTCATTTAAGCATTCTTGCTGCCTAAAATCAATGTGATTGCATTTCTTCAGTGCTACGTGACCAATTAATTTCTTTTCGTTACATTTTAGCTTAAATCTATTATATTCGCATTGCGTAATGAACAAGCGAATAGTTCCATTAAGAATCTTTTCTAAGTATGAGAGAGACAATTGCGCCTTATTATATGACAATAAGAATTCATGGTCTGCCAGAATATTAAAAGGCGTACGAAAACCCGTTAGTTGCAGGGATTTAATTAACCGTTTAATCTGTTTCTGCCTGGGGGTCCGCATGGAAAAATTTGCAAAATAAAATTATGCGGAATAAATTTTGAAGAAATTACTGACAAGACTTAATCCACTTTTATAAAATATGACAGAAATTAATCCACCTTGCTAGAGAGTGAACAAGACTTATTATTTTTAAATATAAAATGACAAAACTTATTCCACTTTATTATGAAATGAACAAGACTTAATCCACCTTATTATAAATTGGACAAGACTTAATCCACTATGTGTAATATATTCTGTCAAAATAGCCAAAACTTATGCCACAATGCACAGAACTTATGCCACATCACCCGAAAAATACCAAGACTTATGGCACATTTAATTAATATCAAAATTATCCTTAATTAACAATACTAAATTTAATTATATAAACTTTTTTTTATCAAAACTATTAATCTTATTAATTGCTTAATTAAACTAACAACTAACAACAAAAAAACAGAATTAACAATGCAAGATTCCCAACCGTCAAGCACAGATATCCCTATTTCAACAGAATATTTATAATATAATAGCCCAATTGTAACCCGTATATATCCTAAGATCAAACTGAAAATATTCAAATCCCGTGCAGACTGATTCATAACCTGATATAGCCCAACATAACCCTTTATAACCCGATATAACCCTGTTTCAGCCCGATATAACCCGTTTCAACCCGTTTCATACAAGGGCAGATAGACTAATTATAACAGAGATATGACTAACTACAACAATATATGACTAAATACAGTGGGAGTATACTAAGTATAACAGGGATATGACTAAATACAACAA